GAAGGGCTGGGCCCTGGGCCTGCCGCTGCTGCTGCTGCTGCTGCAATAGTAGTGGTGGCAGCTAGGAGCCCCGGGCCCTTTTGACTTGCAGAGCCTCGGGGCAGTTGTCCCATTGCCCCTGCCTGCTGGCAGTCATGGGCCCAGCCATAAAATTAGGGTACAGATCAGGATTAATATTGTGAGAATGTTTGGATTTGGGGATTTGGTTTGAACTCATCTCTAAATTATATCTGTTTTTATGGATTAACCAAGAGGTGACGTGGGATAGGGGAAAGGGTGAAAAGTCCCATTCAGGCCATTAGTGCTCTTTTGTTGTATAGAAATACAAGATTTAACATTGTGAAAATTCCAAACAAATTTACAGCCAATTCCCATCTCAGCCAATGAAGGCTTGTGTTGGTCTTTCATTATGCCCAATTTTTCAGTGTATTTATTAATGTCTAAGGCATCCCTCCTCTGAGTACCTAGAGACCCCCTCTTATTGCCCCTTATGCACACTTTAGTATATTCTATATTACATAACTAGGTGCTGTAAACTCTTTTGAACAGTAAGTGTCTGTTCTTTACATGTATGGACAGCTTAGAATGTAGAGGGATCTGATCTGTATTAGTGGCTTCTAGAGATGCTATTGTAATACAAATAAATAGCTGTAATCATTATATTTCCCTATTTACCATCATCACATATACAAATGGAACTTGTTTACGTGCAGAACTGTATGACAGATTGTCTCATTATAGAATAGGAAAACAATTGTCATTGTTGTGTAATGAATTTCTGGAGGGGCACTTGGGCTACTTTTAATGTGATGTCATTAATCATTGCATATTTTGAAGCAGAAAGAGCTTTCCAAGTTTCTGATATACCAGGGCTACTCAACTTTGGAAGCTCTGGGGGCCACAATGATACTCACAACACATGCCGAGGGCCGCAACTTAAGTGTGGTTGCATATACATGCAAATATACATGCACATAGCTTCTTTCACACTGATGGGCATAAATACAAAGATTAAGTCAAGACGACACAACACACAGGCCCCTTTTAAATCAGTTCTGCTGATGTTAATAAAATGCAATATTTACCCAATTTCCACCCATATAACAGCACTTTTAATGAGCAATGACAGTCCAGGAATTTAACTACTAAAATGCATATCAACAGAAGACCATGATATTGACTACTTTTTTATTTTGGGTCCCACCCAGGGGCCACGTGTTGAGCCCCACATAAATCCAAACTGCACCACAGGCCGCAAATAAATGGGGTGCGGGCTGTATGTGGCCCATGGGCCACGTGTTGAGTTGCCCTGTTATATACCTTTCTTGTGCCTACCACCGCTTTTGAGAGCTTTAGGTGTGATGATTTGGTATGGTGACAGCTGTTTTGCTCTGAGCTACATACAAATCTTATTATTAACCTCTACATATCCTGCACTTCATTAGCATAAACATGGCCACTGCTTTTTTTCAAAACAGAGCTTTTTTGGGAAAAAAAAAGGCAGTGTAGATGCAGATCTTTTGAAAATAAACCCTTTTCAAAAGATCCCTTATCCCTCCTAAAATGAGGTTTACAGGATCTTTCAAAAAAGGGTTGTATTTTCAAAAGATCTGCATCTACACTGCCTTTTTTTTTCCCAAAAAAGCTCTGTTTTGAAAAAAAGCAGTGGCCATGTTTATGCTAATAAAGCACAGGATATTTAAATTCCTGCTTCATTAGCAATTTCAACGTGCCTAATCTACATCTCTCTCTCGACAGAGAGGTGTAGTCTATATGTAGCCCTAGTGATAATAACAGTAATGAGAAAGGTGGTTCCTAACAACTCGTACACATTAATGACAGTCCAGCTGTTAGCTCATGACAGACATTTGTCCATAAATTCCCAAACATTCCCATAATTATGCATCTGAAACAACAATTTGCCATTTTTAAACATTTTCCTTGTCCGATAATTATTTTTGGACCAATCAATTAAATAAAAGGCAGTATAATAATATACACACAGCCATATACCATACCAAAAACAAATATATGCTGTACAGTCCTCAGATAGGTTAGAATGAAGTGCAGATTTGGTTCTCAAGAGTTCTCTTCTGTAGGTGTACAGCTGGATTAGTGCCCTAGAAGTACTGTTCAGTCCCTTTTTAATTCCAGGGCATAGAGCTATAAGATGCCACATCGTGACAAAACAATCTCTATTGTATGGTGCACATCTGACAGAAAGTGTCTATCACTCACCAGGATTACCAATGCCTGCCATTTATTTTATGTAGCAAAATGTTTCCTTGGAATTCCCAGGATTCAGAATATTCCTTCTAATTTTGTGCAATCTTCTTTGTTTTTGGTCTAGTCCAAACAGTATCTTGCAAATATGAAACATGCTCCACTGGATGGTTTCATTGACCTGTACAATTCTGAATATCCATTTCTCATCTTAGATGGTAACAACAATTAGAAATGAAGATATTATACATTTACATAGTACCATTCATCACAAAGGTTCCCATGCCACTTTAAACAGTTACGAATTATCTATGGTATCTAACACTATCATTTTGCTTGACACTGAGATGCAGCCATCTCTGGGAGAGAGTGTGGCAGCTGTTCAACAGTACATAGCAACACCACACCATAGGTTACAACAGAATAGAAAAGGAAGAGTATTGTAATTGATGCTGGAGAGACTTTAAGTAGGAAGAATACAATTCTCCATTTCTCTCCTACTACTGAAAGCATTATGGGATTTTCACTCAATGACTTCAAGTGGCCTGAGTCTTGGTTCTATGTCATGCCAGAAAAAATGACACCTCAGTAACACAGTTCCCCTTACTACTACTTGGGAGGCATTAGGTAAGAGAAAAGATATCTTACCGAAGACCCTTAACCACTCCAGCAGTATGTAGATTTTTTAAGGTGTCCAATGCAAGCCCTAACTAGGCTCAATAGATACAAATATTTGTGCACAACAGGAAATATAATTGCACCACCACATTAACTACAGACCATGCAAAATTCTGGCAAAAGTCTAATACATCACACTAATTGTAAATAAATTAGCACTCAGCAAAAGCAAATGAATGTGCCCGCTGCAAATCTATTTTGTTAAGTGTCCTCAAGAGCTGTTTAATTAATCTTGCTGTGTGCTCCCCACATATGCCAGAAACAATTTCCAATAGGAGGTTCCAGACAGTGTAAAACACAACCACATAGTTCCCAAAGACTATGTTATATCATGGTCAACACATTATCTGCAAAGTTTACTTTTCTTTTCTATTGCAGGGAAACCATTTAAATCTTCCTGTTCTGTGATATCACGATCGGAGCTGTCATGGGAATAGTCCTTCATGACGCTATAGTACATTGGTACATGGTACTGGGTGGGGTTTTCAGTCCTTTTCTGTTCACATTTCCATAACTTTTTGAAAGCTGCTCTAAACTTCTGAGACATCAGGTTGTAAATGATGGGGTTGATGGCGCTATTCAGGTAGATGCACATCCTGCAGAAGAGGAGGAACCAGATGTTGAGGTAAGGAGGGTCCAGGAAGGAGTTCACCACTACCAAGGTGCGATATGGCATCCATAGTAGGGCAAAGAGAATCACCACTACAGCCAACATCTTGGTCACCTGTTGGATTGGGAGAGACAAAAAATAAAAAGCTGATGCTACACCTCTTCCAACAGGACCGTCCCACTTTTGAAACAGCAGAAGGTCAGCTCAGAGTCTGTGAATCACTTATTTGCCATTTAAGGTATCAAAATAAGGCTAAGTGGGACACAGATCTTGGACTATCTCGACGGAGGGTGACAATTTCACTCCTGTGAGCACATTTGATATAAATAACACACATAATAGGTCTCCCACCATCTTTCAAGACACTTAAAACCCCACTGGGAATAATTATTAATTGGCAAGATCATAATAATTCATTGGGAGATGAGCTGATAGAAAGGGATGGATCGAATTTCTAATTGTGTGCAATTTTGAAACTTGCTTGTGACAACAAACAAAACAAAACAATGAGGGGAAAACTCTCCTGTCTGCTACGGCAGAAGGCCAAGCAGCACTTGAGGCAGAAAGCATTCAAATGATTTCTCAATATTTAAATGATTCTTTTGGATCCTGTTGACTTTCCATTCAACTGAAATATTTCAGATGCAAGTAACTGGTAGTAGAGCAGCCAGACTCCGGCATGAACTCCAGATCTGTTCCAAGAGCAGATTTTTTTGCAGAGTAGCAAGTGAATATCTTTAAAATCTAAAGCATCTGCACAGTTGCCACATTAGGAACAAGGTGTGACGTAGTGGGGGTACCTTGCTGGTTGCTATGCTGGGCAGTAGGCTGTGGGGGACCTCTGCTGGTGGCAGCACGGCCCAGCAGGGCAGGGGGTGACTCATTATGCAACCTGTCTGACCAGCTACCCCCCAGGGAGAGAAACAAAGGAAGGTGGAATGCTGCCCCTGGCTGGGGGGCAGGGCTGGAAGAGAGGGAGTTAGTCTCTGTCTGGTATCATGGAGGAAGCAGCCTAGGCAACAGGCTGGGCTTTAGGAGCCCAGACTCCCGCATATCAAGGGGAGCTGAGGCATCCTAGTCCTGCCCTGGAACAAGAGTATATCTCTGCTGTGCTGTATCCTGGAGAAGCAATAAACTCCCTCTCTTCTACTGGCTGGTGGAGTCTGTTCGTGCCATTTCGGGGGTGCAGGAGACAGGAAAACCCCAACGCGCTGTCACACAAGGATGTATGGTGAATTCAGAAATGAACTACAGTTCCTCTCTGCTATACTCCATAATATTTTTAATTCATTTCTCTTGTATTAATTTTCCACAATAATCCTTATCAGACAGCTGCAAACAGCCTTTTAGATGAGTGATTATCTCCCCAACAGCACATATATATTGAAGACACATGCTCTTCAGGATGCCCTACATACAGTAATGGGAGTATGACATACATATTAAGGGGATAGGCTTCTCTAAATGCTCAAAAGGAGATAGCTCAGAGGCTACGGCTACACTGCCATTTTTTTGCGGAAGAAGATATGCAAATTGCGCTCGCATTTGCATATCTTCTTCTGTTTCTTTTTGCGGAGGAGGTTTTGCCACTATTTGGCCTCATGTAGACGGGGCCAAATGTCAGAAAAAAATCCTTTTGCAAGACCCTGTAAACCTCGATTTACAAGGAATAAGGGGTCTTGCAAAAGAGGGGTTTTTTTTCCCAACTTTTGGCCCCGTCTACATGGGGCCAAATAGTGGCAAAACCTCTTCTGCAAAAAGAGTGGAATTTGCATATCTTCTTCTGCAAAAAAACCAGAAGTGTAGCTGTAACCTCATCAGTGACTATGCTTTCCTCCAGGAAGATAGATATTTTGTCAAAAGTCTGATCCCCTGGTTCTCTTGAAGGCTGGTTTTCAATTGGTTACAAGTACTGCACCCTCAAGAACACTCTCTGCGGGAGCAGAGAATAGTGAAATGGAACAATAAATGGATTATTAACAGGCCTGGAAGTCAGAGTGTAGTACAGTGGTGACACAAGGATACTTCCCAGCATAAGATCACGTGATGATGCTGTGAGTTACTGTACCCCAGCTATCAACCAATGGACCAGTTATTATGTCTCACTACTTCTGGGAAATGCAGATTAAGGATTGTAGGAAGTGTGAAGTGAGCCATATATGACACAATTCTACCACGGAAACCTTTACCCACAAGGAACAGGATGGTTCAAAGGCTATTAGAGCCATCATGATTTCTGATTCCAATCTGTCCCATCTAGCATCAAATGCCAGGCTGATGGACACTTTTTAGAGATACTCAGAAATAGGTTGGCAGTGATCAGCAGTCTTCATAGTCTGGTGGTTTGCTTGGTGCCCCACATGAAATCCATTGGGGTCCATCCAGTTCTAGTTATAACTAACTTCTCTCCGGTAAAAGGATTATGAGTGATTGGGTCATGGAGACTGAACTATCTTCTGTTCAATAAAGGGTGTATATTCATGTCACCCATCATGTGCTGAGGCACATTCACAGGGCAGTATGATGGAAGCAGCTGCAATCTGCACTGACAGTGACTTAGGTTGGGAGAATTTTAGTCCCTGGAGCTGTCAAACCAGCATAGTAAAGGACAGATTTCCTTAATAACCCTTTACATGAGGTACTTACAATGCAGTACATCAATGTGATTATATACAAGCATTAAATGTTAGTATTACAACATTCAACTTATCTACTAAGGTCAATATAGTTGAAAAACAGTTTTCCAAAACCGTCTTTATTTACCACAGCTGGAGATAGAGGATGTATGATGTCCTGAAGATGAGGATGGGTTTTACATTATTCCAAAGCATGAAGATAGTAACCTTGATAGTTAATCTTTGCAGGTGCCAACTGGGATGTTGCTATTGATAATGATTATGAAGGCGATGAACCTGATGCTAAACATTTTTAATGGATACAAAAAATAATATGTGAACATAAGAAATATTGTTATTGCAATTAACTGCGAGAAATAGCTCAACATGATGGAGGGTAAAACACTACCAGGGAAGTAGTGGTCAGCATAGATCGGTGTTTCCCAATTTTTTTTGACCACGGAACCCTTTCAAACTCAGAAAAATTTCAAGGAACCCCCAGCCGGTGGTAAAAGCAGAGCGGCAGCGGGGGACGCGGGAGAGGGATCTTGGGTTGATCGGGCAGAAGCGGGACAAGCAGCTGTTGCTGCTGCTAGGTCCAGTGATAAAAGCAGAGCGGAAGCGGGGGACGCGGGAGATGTCTGAAAGGGGAGCGGGGAAGGAGCCAGCGTCTTTGCGCGCCGGGTTCCTCTGTCTCTTTATGGGCAGGGGGAGGGGAGTGTTTGGGTTCTCGCAGAACCCTTACGTTCGCTTCACGGAATCCCAGGGTTCCGCGGAGCACCATTTGGGAAACACTGGCATAGATAATCAACCAGTTTTGTGCACAGAACAAAGTCATTAGGGAGACACAGCCTAGAGGAAGAGCTCACAAGAAAACATTTGTATCTTTTTAGGAAGCAAGAGGGCCATCAGAGGGTGTAAATGGAGCTATGCCAAGGATCTGACCCAGAATGTTTAGCAGTCGTCTCGCTATACATCTCTAAGGTCTGAACACTTTCCACCAAGTCACTACACTTCTCAAGCTTGCAAAGAGGATTACTTTTTGTTAGGTGTATTGGTACTGCTGAAGTTTGATTTTGTAAGACAACCTGAACATGTTCACCTTCTACAAAGCTGTAACAATCAATTTAAGCCTACAGTAAGAGAGAACCCAGTGCCTGTCTTATGTGACCCTGAGTGCAATTCAACCTTTAGATCACCTCTACTAAACAATTTGTTTAGCTTGATCTCCTGGTTGGTTAGGCAGTGTTGGTTGTTTATTCTTTTGATTTATGCAGTCAGTAAGCATCCTTGTCCTGTCTGAACAAGAAATCCATTCAGGGACAGGTATCAGCAAACAATTCAGTATTAGAGATTTGGGTCTTAGATAAAAGCCAGCTGATATTAATGAGACATTACTACGTCTACATAGCAGCGCTATCCGAAAATAGCTATTCCACATCTTTTGCGCGCGCCCATTATTTCAAAATATAATGGGCTCACTATTTCAATGTCCCTCAAAACCTCATTCAACAATGATTAAGGGACATTTCAGAATAGCAACTTATTTCAAAATAAGTGCTGTGTAGACAGCGTCAAATTTCAAAATAAGCTATTTCAAAATAACATCAAAATAAGATACACAATTTGCATATCTTCAGATTGCCTATCTTCTTTTGACCTACAGTGCAATGTAGATGCACCCTCAGTGGACTTTGGATTGCACCTACGCAAGACAGGTGCCTGAAAGTGTGACCCAGAAACCTTTGGTAGCCAGCCTAGGCAGACTGTGCACTGACATTCCTTACTAAGGTGATGAGTTATCAGATTCTGACTGGCATAGAATAATCCCTTTTGTTGTATACCCTGAATACAAACTGTGGCAAGTTTAGCTGTGCACCCTAGTGGACTTCACTTCCATCTGAGAGACTGGAGCTTCATTTAAACATCTCAGGTGACTTTTTTCTTCAATTATTTGCAGTTATCTGTCTTGTTTGATTTGACTGTTTGAAGCACCATCATGTTTGTCAAGGGTGACCTATTCATTCACTAGTAACAGGATCAGTCATTAATAAATAGGGAATATTCCCACTGTGATGGAAATTAACATCTGATTTCTAATGATTTCTCAACCTGTGGGAAATTAGGATGGAAGGAACCATTGGTCCAGCTGTCTTTGAACCTCCCCACCACACTTTTCAACAAGTGCTATAGAAATGGCAGCAGTCCCCAGTACATATTCACTCTGGCTGTGTCTACACTGCACCCCTTTTCCAGAAAAGGGATGCAGATGAGACAAGTCGGAATTGCAAATGAAGCGGGGATTTACATCTCCCCTGCTCCATTTGCATGAACATGGCTGCCGCTTTTTTCCAGCTCAGGGCTTTGCCGGAAAAAAGAGCCAGTCTAGACGGGGATCTTTCGGAAAATAAAGCCTTTTCCGAAAGGTCCCTTATTCCTCTTAAAATCAGCAAAGCCCCGAGCTGGAAAAAAGCGGCTGCCATGTTCATGCAAATAGAG